CCCGGCCGGGTCTTCCTCGACCGCCTCCGCATCGTCTGCCCGGTGGCCCCCTTCGGGCTCAACCTGAGGGTAATCCCCTATTACCCTCGTAGGCGTTTCCCTAACGCCTTCGACCGGGGAATCCCGTCCGCTCGTGGACGTTTTCCCGCTTTCTTCGCTCGAGCTCCCCGACCCACTGGAGCTCGACCCGACGTCCCCGATGAGCTTGATGACCTTTCTTGCTCGGGGGCTCGGTCGGGGGTTGGCTGCGGTCGTTGTTCGACCTCCGGAGAATAGGACATGATGTCCACCTCCTCGCTGATTTGCTCGACCTCGTCGTCGTAATCTCCGACCGAGACGTTCTGGCTGTCTGAGTCTGACATCTTTTCTACCTAAAGGTCGGTCGAGGTTAGTACAGGGCTCGGGACGTTGGGTCGTAGTTAGTGTTATCCTACTGCTACGCGAAGCTAAAAATAAAAAACACAGCAAGGAAGAAGAAAACTTACCGACCAGGAAGACTTCGATGAAGCTTGAAGTTGGTTTGCTCGGTTGATCTGCTGATGTTCACTCGGGACTCTCTGAGGGTGCCGATTGGTTCAGAAGATTGAGGAAATTTCAAATGAGGGCCTCAAGGGCCTATTTATAGGAGAGCATTTGGGCGGGAAACCAATCCACTTGCGCGATGTGACCCGCACTGATTCCGAGGCGACCGTTGCAGTCGCAGAGGCCGGCAGTCGCCGACACATGGCGAGAGAAGGAATGACAGCTGGCCGGTCGGTTTGGTAGCCGACGGTTGGGTTTCTTCATCCCGTCCCGTTTTTTCCCAGACGGTAAAAAAGGCCCGGGCTGGGGGCTCTTGGTAGGGAATATCCCGACCGACATAGCTTTACCCCGGCCGGTGTGCCTTTGTCTTTGTCTTCTTGTCTTTGCAGGTAACAGGTCGGGTTTCTTGTGAAGAACTGGTCGGGATTCGACCGGGAGTTGCCCGAGCGGCAGTGTCGACCACCGAGCGGTAGCCCTTTAGCGAGAGAGCTGACGAGGGACACGTGGTGGCTCCACGCGTTGACAGGCAGGGCACCCGGGACGACGACACGTGGTTGCTACGTGGGAAGCATGCCGAACGGCCGGATTTATGTCTCCGGCTCCGCGGCTATAAATACCCGCGATAGCTACAGTGTGGGGGACTTTTGGACGATCGATAGGTTGTTTTTAGAGAATCCCGACCGCAGTCAGTCGGTACTCAGAGCAACCAAGTAGATTGTACTTAGGACCTTCACAGTGATCAATAAGAGTTATTTACTTGCTTTAATTGGTCTCGTATTTATTTAATTATCGCTTACGTGGCAATTAACACTATCAGCACAATAACAATAATATTTGATATAAATCAACAAAAAATGGAAATAAATTAAATATACAATAAATAAAAATACTTATTACCGTTAAAAATGATAATGGTAGTGGAGGAATCGACGGTGGGGGTGTTGGCGGTGGCATTTGGCGTCGGCGCCGATAGCGGTGGCGGTTGCGAGCTGAGGCTTCGGCGGTGGCGTCGGATGGCGGCTTTGGCGGAGGAAAAGGCGCGTTGGCAGCGGTTGATCGATGAGAGGATGGTGGTGGTCGATGGTGCTGTGGCAGAGGAAATGGTTTCAGATCTAAGGTTGGAGGAGGCTATGGTTGGAGACTACGAGGTTTCATATCCCGATTTGATATGATGTTATTTTGTCCGACTTTCCCCGGCACCCTCTAGGAGACGGTGCCGCGGAAAGGTTTATAGTTTTTTTCTTTTTTTAAAGAATGTGCCGCAAAAAGTAGACACGCCTTTTTTGTTTTTTGTTTTTTTTTTTTTTTTTGTGAGAAACCACTACACTTTTAAAACAAAAGTATAGTGTATTCTTATGTATTTATTTACGGTTTGCCGTCGTATTTTTTTTCAACTATACACTACACTTTTATTAAGAGGTGTAATGAAAAGTTATATTTATATATTTAATTTTGTAGTAGTGTATCTACCATCTGTTGAGCATATAACCATTAATGTGCAATCCAACTACCAGCTTAGGCTTTTAGTTGAGATAGATCACATGCTTTAATTTGGTATTTGGTATCAGAGCCATACCAAAGGTCATAGGTTCGAATCTCAGCGTCACCCATAAGCGACTATGGTCCACGTGTTGAGCATATAGTCATTAATGTGCAATCCAACTATCAGCTTAGGCGCGTCACCCATACACGACTATGGTCAACGTGTTGAGCATATAGTCATTAGTCATTAATGTGCAATCCAACTATCAGCTACACGACTGTGGTCCACGTGTTGAGCATATAGTCATGCATATAGTCATTAATGTGCAATCCAACTATCAGCTACACGACTGTGGTCCACGTGTTGAGCATATAGTCATTAATGTGCAATCCAACTATCAGCTTAGGCGCGTCACCCATACATGACTATGGTTCACGTGTTGAGCATATAGTCATTAATGTGCAATCCAACTATCAGCTACACGACTATGGTCCACTTGTTGAGCATATAGTCATTAATGTGCAATCCAACTATCAGCTTAGGCGCACGTGTTGAGCATATAGTCAAATTTGGTATTAGAGCAATCCAACTATCAGCTTAGGCGCACGTGTTGAGCATATAGTCAAATTTGGTATTAGAGCCAGATCAGCTTACGCGCTTAGGCCAATTTGGTATTAGAGCCCCAGATTTTCGAAACTTTTAAAACTTATATAATAAAGGTAATACTATTATTAATACCGAAATAGAGCATTACTAAACATAAGAGTTTGGAGTGCTATGCCACATCTGAGCTGGAGAACTCAGATGCACAGGCTACACTAAACTAAATATCCTCAAAACAATGTCAATACATCATCATGACACGCAGGCCGAAAGGAAAACTAACTATCTAAGCCTCGATCCTCTAGCGCGCTCCGGAGCTACTCATCTGTTCCTGAAAGTCAAATATATCTGTTCAGCGAATAATGCTGGTAATCCACTCCAACGCGTTAAAATACAATATAGGTATATATATATATATATATATATATATAGGAAAACCATTTTGAAGCAGGAAGATATATACTTAGGAGACTCTAGTTTTTAAAACCGAGAATAGACTCAGCAAGTAAGGACAAGCACATTGAATAGTTATAATCATGCATACAAAGGTACTAGCATATATCCTAAGGTCACAAGATTGTTTCACATTATTCATATCATCACTCAATCATTATCTCAATCACATAAGCACACTTTGGTGGTGCCGCAGGACCCTTCACGCGCCCATACACGAAGCGCCAGCGCATATAGCTCTGGCATGGCCCCGAAGCACCCTGCCTATACCGCAGCACAAGGGGTCGATCGCAACCGACCGATGAACCGCAGCTCATCATAATGTTTGATCGCAACCAAACAGTGGACCGCAGCCCAAAAGTGTATTTATGATCGCAACCAGATTATGAACCGCAGCTCATGTAAAACGTTTGATCGCAACCAAACGGCGGACCGCAGCCCTATATAATATTTATATACCTGAACGATCGCAACCGGCCTGGTTAACAGTTGGTATGGTTCTCAACCCATCCAACTGCCCGTATAACCATTTAATCGCAACCAAATTGGGGTATCATGCACACATAACACATAGCAAGCACATGCAACCCACATTAACACATTGGGAAAGGGGAGGAAACGTATAAAGAAACCTATGCGTGGTCATCCACATACTAGGAATATTCCTAAGGGGTTCATACAACTCTCACCTAGGCCAACGGGATACCAATTCAACTAGCATGCAATACACAGGACTCTCTTATCCTACGAATGGTACCCGAAATATTAAACTAGACTCAGGCACGATAAACGGAGTCTGTTGAGACACCACGAGGGTCGGGAAAAATCAAACGGGGAAACCACCATCCCACATTGAGAATTTCCAGCGGGTGACCGGCGGGTGGAGGACCACCCGCCGGCGGCGAGGCTACTGGGCAGCGGGTGCACGGCGGGCAGTTGCCTGCCCGCTGCCGGCGACGCCTAATAGGGCAGCGGGTAGGTGGCGGGACCGGGCTTAGGCCAATTTGGTATTAGAGCTAGATCACCTTAGGCGCTTAGGCCAATTTGGTATTAGAGCCAGACCAAAGGTCATGGGTTCAATCCAACTATCAGGCTTAGGCGCTTAGGCTTTTAGTTGAGATGAAGCACATGCTTCAATTTGGTATTAGAGCCAGACCAAAGGTCATGGGTTCAGCGCAGTTGAGATGGAGCACATGCTTCAATTTGGTATCCCCACCCATAAGTGCTTCAATTTGGTATCGCCACACATAAGTGACTACGGTCCACGTGTTGCTTGGAACCCACCGCGATAGATCACATGCTTTAATTCCATCATGTGTGTTTTAGTTGAGATGGAGCACATGCTTCAATTTGGTATTAGAGTCAGACCAAAAGTCATGGGTTCAGCGCAGTTGAGATGGAGCACATGCTTCAATTTGGTATCGCCACCCATAAGTGACTACGGTCCACGTGTTGCTTGGAACCCATCGCGATACATCACATGCTTTAATTCCATCATGTGTCTCTTCATCTTGACAACCTTGTTATTTATAGTTGTATGATTGTATCTCTGAATTTGTCCATTAGAAAGAAACAAATTCGAATTGCCCTCTTGTCATTAAAATATTATACATGATTTAACATGTGTAGATTGTGTCTAATAGCTGCTTACAACTTTTCTATAAAATCTGACCTTTTGCTATCTTTAAGAACATTTTCTAAAAAAACATGTATTCACCTTGAATAATATACCAACGATTCAAAAGCAATAAAAATAAACAGAGAATGTTAGTCGAAACATCCTTTTGCTTATTGCCCTCCGTTATTAGCTTCGATGCTTTTTAAGAAAGTCTTCTTGTTAGTACGAATTTGTACGACTTCTGATCTTGAAGACAATTTGTTACAAAACAATAATTTACCCCTCCACAAACTGTCGTGTCGAGGTGTGGGAGCACTTGGAGTGTGCAATTCTATCTTATGTCACAAGAAATGAGACAAGGTACAACTAAAAACAAGTTCAACTTAATCAATCAAAACTTGACAACTTCATATGTTTATCCAAATTAGCATAAAAAACCAATCCATGCACACAGACACCAGAAGCTTCATAGCAAGCTGCAACCATATAGCTAATACTAATAGGGATCTGGAAATAAATAATGAAACATGGTGCCCTGCAGACAGAGAGTTCTAAGCCTTGATTGTGACACTACAGAGGCACGATCCGGATGGCTTTATTTCGCAAGTCTGCCATTCTGAACCCGCAGCTGCATTTGGATCATATAACAGCGTAGTGTAAGTGGGATTCTCCTGTAACGAAAACAGGAGAAGCTTCTCATCCAATATCCCCAATCTGAAGCCGATGCTCGAACTCCCTGTCACGGGAACACCAACCATCTTCCACGAGTTGTCCTCCGGGTTGAATATCCCAAGCTTACGCTGGTTCTTCCACTCTATGCAAAACAGCTTCTTTCCCACCACCGCATGAGCTGTAACCATCACACAACCGTTTTTCATCTCACACCATGACTGCCTCTCGGGATTGTACACATCAACGAACCTCGAGTTCCCTATTGTAAAACTTGACCGACCACCCATCACATACAGCTTTCCCTCAAACCCGCACCCAAAACACCCCCACCTTGGGCGACGAAGAGACTCAATCACTCTCCATTTGTTGGTGTCTGGGTCATACACCTCAGCACAAGAAAGAGACTCCCCATTCACACCATTACCTCCAACTGCATACACCATTCCATTCACCTCAGCACAAGCAAAGTCATATCGTGCCACATTCATGCTGGCTAATTTGCTCCAGCTGCCCAACAAATAAATACCAATTAAAGGAGATCAGCTCTATCATACTACTACTGTGTAAGTGTAACATTAAGATCCTGCCTAATCAACACATGAAAGTGAACATGAACATGAAATTTCTGGATTGGGGAAATATTGGCACTATTTGGCACGCCCAACTGAAAAGCTAGTAGCTAATAAGCTAACGGATTGAAATTAAAGTCTTTGGTAAAATTAATTGTTGAATTAACTGATAAATGTAAAAAGACATAAAAGGATAAACTATGAAATTGTGTGATTTTTATTAATGAAGAGTCAGTGTTGCAAAAATCGCGCTAGGCGCCAATTAATCCGCACCTAGGCGGCGCTCTAGGCGCCCGCCTAGGAGCTCTAGGCGCCTAGAGGGCGCGTAGGGATTTTTTCAACCTTGTGAAGAGTAGATGGCGTCATTTTTATAAATTAATAAAGATAAAAAAAGAGGAAAAAAGTTAAAAATTCATGAGCTTATTTTAAAATGCTACTTGGGATAGCATTTCCAAATAAACTGTTATTTTAAACTCCCCAAGTTTTACTAAACAAAGCTTATAGCTTATTTGTAGCTTAAAATAAACTCCACCAAACAGAGCAATAAAATTGTTTTAAAGGGGAGATCCCGCAGTTACATATCACATTAAGTCTCTTCAATGGTAAGCTGCGCCCACTCTTCCACTCGAGCATCTACCCAACTTTTTATTAGGTGAAAGGAGCCATTAAACATTACTATGTAACAAATAGAATACGGTGATATATAACCGAATAAGGAAAAAACAAACCTGTTCAAGCATGAATCATACTGAAAAACTTCTGGTGAAACAGAGGCAGACTCATCAATCATGGAGTATCCACCCATAACAAGCAGCTTTGCATTGAGAACCGCGACACCAAAGCCAGCTCTGATAGGAGCAGGCATCTGTGGGAGCTGGTGGTGTTTATGCCCCAAACAATCCAAGACCTCCCAATGGCTTTCCTTTCCATCAGCATCCACAGTTAAAACATAAAGCCACTCCTCAAGCAAACATGCTAGTTTTCGTACCATGATGAACTCTTTGCTTCTAATAAATGATCTCCATCGCTTGTTGACACCACCCATAGCAGGAAAATAGTATCGGGGAACAAGAGCAAGGCAGTATTTTGCCACATCATCAGGCAATCCAGGCAACAGGGGAGAATAGGAATCATCGACAACAACAGAAGAAGTAAAGTAAGAAATATTTTTCGAATGGCCTGGATTATCTAGGTTCATTTCATCTGAGAAACACATCTTTAATTCTGTAACTCTCTTTTTCCCACAATTAGTGCCAGGCATTTATAAAATCACAATTCTGACACTTGGAATATTCAACATGAAACTCAACAACGAGCATTTTGACTAGAGAAACTCATGATATACTTCACTTATGGAAATTCTAGAAGACCAAGCAGAACGGATATCTTGAGCTGTAAAGGCTGACAACTTTCTATGCTTTGTCCAATCAGATTCAGATTCCATGCCACTTCTTCCGATCCTACTAATGTTCTGCTGGATTCTGGCACCTATGATGTTACCACTCTCTATTTTCCTAGAGTTTGTTTCCCCCCCAAGCATTGCCTGAATATCTATTTTCAAGAAATAACAGTCATATCAGGAAATAAAATAATACTCACTAGAGAATACAATTTAGAATCAAAGATTAGTAGGTAGAGTAAATGAAAAAAAAAAATTAATAGGGGAAAGGGAAAGGGATAAAAGGAAGGGAAGTAAAAGAAGCACCTGCCAAGCCCATAGAACCAGAGGTTTAGCCGCCAGTTACTTCCATCTTTATTGTCACAAAAGAATCACCTGTTAGTAAATCACATAAGATTTGTAACTGAAAGCATATCTAAAATGGTAAAAACCAAAATATAAAGAATAAAGTTACAATGAAAATTCAAAGAACTGTCTAGTAGAATTACAAACTCAAACTCATCTTCTAAATATTCAACACCACTGGAGAGATTATTGTAAACTCAGCCACTAGCCTCATCTAACCTTCAGAACATGACATACATGTTAAAAGCTAATGGGCTAATGGCTTACTGTAAATATAATAATGGTGCCAAATTCTTCATTACGGGCCAACCCAATGGTGGAACTGGGGGCGAGGGGAAGTTTTTCGAACATTTCCCCTTTAGAAGGTTGTATTCTATGAAAATTTTAGAAATTAGTTTCATGTATTGAATATGTTTCATTTGGGAAATTTTTTTTTTTTTGCAAATCTGTGTTTTTTTTTTCCTGAAGTCAAACTGTCAAAGTGGTCTTTTTCAGATTATAAATTTGATTTAAATATATTTTTAAAATTTATTGCTTTAGATAAAAAACTTTTTATTTTGAATTAATAATAAACCTATTGCTGAATTTTAATTTAGTTATATTCTAGAAAAAAAGTTTATTCAATGGTTTATTAAATACTCCACAATAATAATTGAACATATCACTATATTTAATTTTCATATTTCATAGTACTTGGAAAATAAAATTTGGGCTCAAATTCATTTTTCATTAATTATTAACAGAATAAATAAACCTATGTAAATAAATTGTATTCTTTTTATTATGATAATAATTCATTAGCTTCTTTTTTTTAGCATATTTTATATTTTTATTAACTAATTTGAGTTGAAAAAAGAAATTACTAGACTTAATCTCTTTTCCAGGCTCATGTTTAAATTCAAAGAAAACCAAACTAAATTATTATAGTGCTAAAGAATTTAGATATATAGAAAACCAAAACAAATTTCAACCTCAAACCACCCACCCACAAATCCTTCTTCCCCAAGTATAATACCCAAAAACTCAAAAAGTGATATGAAGTGATAACGAAATATCAAAAAGATTCATTATCATAATCAAAAGCTCCAAATGTCCAACTGGCTGGAGAAAATGGATGCCTCAACAAATTCCAAACAATTGAAACATCAAGTTTACCTAACCAGACCCGAACAATACAAGATCTACTTTTTGACTAACACATTTGGCAATATAAATAACTAAATATAATAACTAAAAATTAGATGTGTAACTAATATTGTTAGGCAAAAGCCGGCAAAGGCCAAGTCTAACACCTGGTGACGGGGGATTGTTGGGGGAGGCCGGTAAAGGGCCAAGTCCAGCACCCAGTGTCCCGAACATGTGATGGCGGTCTATAAAGAAGGAAATAAAGTTATGCCTTTGCTACTAGCTATAGTTTTTTGGCTTAAGTGATAAGTGCTTGATCCTAACAAATATTCACCCAGTCAAATCAGATCTGACATCAATAATTCATTAACATCTTCTTAGAAGCTTCATCCATTTTCAATTGAAACAATACTGTTTGATAGAAACCTCCAGCCTAATATCAAATTAATTTCTCACACAGCATAATAAAACAATATTCCGGACACAATTAAATATTACCAAATAATCAAATGGAATAGCAAAATCCAGGCAGGAAGATGATAACAAATTACGAATCAAACAAGAAATACAGATCTAGTACTTTAAAAAAATCGTAAAAATCGAGTCTTTCAGTATAACTAACATAATTAACCAGGAACAAATATCCAAGACTTGTATATTTCATGACAAATCCATTTCACGGATACGGGTAGGGAAGCCATTAATCGGGTGTTCGGCTTAACAACAAGGAAAATGTAATCCAAAAAACCCGTTTAAATTAAAACAAAACTAAAGTAGAAAATGTCGTTTAGATAGATCTATATACAGCTCAAAAACATGTAAGATAAACACAGATTCAGGAGAACAAAAAAAGAAATCAAAAATTTCAAACAAAAAAAACAAAAACCTGAAAATGTGATTTCTTTAACGAGGCTGGAGTAGAGTCAAGTTTTGCGGTAAAAGGAGTGTGTAAAGAAAGTATGTATGTAAGAATAGAAAAGAGTGGGATGGAGAGATATATAAATATGGAGGAGGGGAGCAGCCACGGAGGAGAGTCTCGTGACGATAGAATTTTGGAAAGGCCACTTTAGAAAGAATCAAAGAAAGTGGGAAAAAAGATATGTCAATTAGTGCAGATAATGTTGCCACATTTGCTTCGTCACAATTATGTGGAAGCCGCTTTTTTAATACAAAATATTTTTGGTCGTAAAAGACTGTTTCATAGACCTTAAAAGGGGTTGAAGAGTTATATGCTCAAATATAGAAATAAATGATTTAAAATTAATTAATTAAGAGTTTGAGTAATAATTAATTAAGGTAATAGATTAAAATGATAAAATTAATATTAAGAAGAAAGAATGTGAGAATAGTTAAGAAATGGAAGAGTATCTTTTTTTTTAATAGTTAAAATCAAAGTTATGTTCTTATGCTATATTTTTTGAAAAAATTGTATAAATTGACTCAAATATTAAAATCTTATATTCACATAATTAGTTATCTTATATAATTTGAACCACACAATTCCTAAAGAATATCTTCAAATATCAATACTATATACTTCTTTTTTTTTTTTTTTTTTTTTTTTGGGAAAATGGTACATTTCCACGTGAATTATATGCTTATAGCATTTCTTCTTAATGAATTATTCATGTATCTACATTAGTTCCCTCAATTATTCTAAAAATGGTGATTTTTCATTTGATATATTAAATAAACATTTTTACTCTTAAAATAAATATTTCATTTATTTTTATTCTCCAACAAATTATTGCTTATATGTATGGACGATCACCGTTTGATTCAAACCGAACCGAAAATTGTAGCAACCGAATGAAAGGTTCTGGTTATGATTCAGAACCAGAACACAATATTTGGACTTCTAGTTTATTAAAATCACGAATCGAAAGAAATAGACCATGAACCGTGAACCGGTGGTTCAAAATTGGAACAACTACTAGCATTAGTTTAAAATTATGATTGTAATATTTGCAAATTGTGTATGTTCTTTTTCGTATTTATTCTGATTCTCACATATAAGTAGACATGGCTTATTCGATTCTAATTTTGAATCGCCAACTCACAGTTCCGGATCCAGTTTGAATCGCTAGTTCAATTTTTTTTTTAAATTTTTTTTATTTTAAAATAGTTTAAATTTAACAATTAATGTATTTTTTTTTTCGTTCGGAACCGACATCGGCAGTCCTGATTCGCGATTTTAATAAATTGAAATTCAAATATTGAATTCTGGTTCTAAATCATAATCAAAACCTTTTAGTTTGGTTGCTACAGTGGCTAGCTCAGTTTGAACCAAACTGTGGTCATCCATACATATAATCAATATTTTTTTGGGAGAAGAAGAATCATTTGTTGGAAAATAAAAACAAATGAAATATTTATTTTAAGGGTAAAGATGTCAATTTAACATATAATGGAGGAAAACCACCATTTTTAGAATAATTGAGGAGGATTTAAACTCAATAAATCCTCAATTCTTTAGAACAAGCCAAACGAGTTGTAAATACTTGTTAAAAGGTAGCACATAACATATTAAGTAAAACATATACCTTTTCACCCGTGTGGTTGACACACCTTAAGCCTTAAAACGGTGCACCTTAAGTACAAAAATCACGCACCTTAAACACACAATAAAGCACCTTAAGAATACAAATCACGCACCTAAGGTTTTAAAATGGCTCACCTTAAGTTTCACATAACTGACACACCTTAAGCATACAAATCACGCACCTTAAAAGGAAAACAACGCACCTTACGAAGGAAAACCACGCATCTTAAGTTTCAACAATTACTCACATTAAGCACAAAATCCACGCACCTTAAGCACAAAAACCACGCACATTAAGAATGAAAACCACACATCTTAATTTTCAACAACTACTCACATTAAGCACACAACCCACGCACTTTAAGCACAAAAACCACGCACCTTAAATTTAACCTAGATGCAAAAAGTACCAAATTGCCACCGTTTTTTTTTTTTTTTTTTTTTTTTTTTTTTTTTTTTTTTAAATTTGATAATCATGAACGTTGATTTATGATCAAGTGCACATGCCCATTCCCGTGCGAAAATGTGAATGGTGCACTTGAAGGCTCAAAACCATGCACTTGAAGGTAAAAAAATGTGCACTTAAAGGCAAAAAGTTACATTTGAAGGCAAATAGATGTGCAATTGATGCAATTTATGGTCCCAAAAAGGGAGGTTATTCAACTTAAGTGTTATTAAACCAATTACCCATACAAATCGTTTGTAAATCTTAAAAAATTTCATTGGAAATTTAGTAATATGTTATTGGAAAAAATGCACAATATATAACAAATACTGCCCAGAAGTTGTGCACTTGAAGGCGAAGAAACATGCACTTGAAGGCAAAAATGGATTCACTTGAACATTAAGTTTTTTTTTTTTTTTTTTTTTTTTTTTTTTTTTTTTTTTTACACAATAGTAAGACATACATACACTTTTAGGCATTAAATTGAGCACTTGAAAGCATAAGAGGATCACTAGAAGGCAATGGAGAAAAAAAAACAGACACTAAAAGGAAAAATTTGAATGAAATTAACTATGCACTCTTAGAATGGAAAACATGCACTTGAAGGCTACAAAACGTGCACTTGAAGGGCAAAAGATTTGCACTCAAAGGCACAAAGATGTGCACTCAAAATAGAAACTAAGTATTGAAATAAAAGTGATGCACTCGAAGAAGAAAAAGTATGCACTTGAAAAAGGAAAAATGTTCACTCGAAGAAGGACAAATGTGCACTCGGAAACAAAACACAAGCTCACTTACTTGCTCAAAATTATAAGAATTCCACTGCGCGTTTTTTTAATTATCTTCAATTTGGGCTATTGATTTGGACTACATCTATGGTTGAGACTTAACCCTATTTTTTTTTTGTTTTTTACCTAATGAGGCTTTTTTTATTTGATCCTTAATATATATATATATATATATATATATATATATATATATATATATATATATATATATATATATATATATATGGTTGAGTTCACATGATGACAACAATATATAGAGGATTGTGCGGACAAATATTGGGCACACAACTATTTAATACCAAGCATACAATTTAATATACAATGACACACTAGTATAAATGTAAACATCAGGTTTCAAACTCAGGCTCTATTAATTAACAAACCCATGACTGTGCGGACAAATATTGGGCACACAACTATTTAATACCAAGCATACAATTTAATATACAATGGCACACTAGTATAAATGTAAACATCAGGTTTCAAACCCAGGCTCTATTAATTAACAAACCCATGCACGCGACATATAAACTGTGGCACACGACTACATTCGGCCATGCACACAACATACAGGCTAATGGCACACACTACATCTGTCCTCACAGTTCTCTATAATATACTTGTCCTCATTTGAACACACACACACACACACACACACATATATAGAGTCCGGATCAGGTGAGGACGTGAGGACTAATCTAGACCATTAAATCAGAATGATGTATGACTGAGATTAAAATGAACAAATCACACGGATTAAGGATACAAATCCCTTTAAAATATTAAAATATATAAATTTAGGGTAAATCAGTCTTATTAAAAGATGTGCATTTCTATACTTAGTGTTGTGCATCGATAACTTTATTGATGTGCATTCAAACCCCGCTAAAAAAATCCTACAGTGGACATCTCAATGTCCTACGATGCACTGGACTATGTGCTATAATGCACAACTCTCTAGCCTATAGTGCACAACTTTCAACACCAGGTTGCACAATCAGCACACACGAATGCACATTCGTACTACCCAAGCATTTGTACATATACACGACCATCCAATATTGACAATATTATACTCAAAAGAACGAGCGAAAAAAATAAAAAAATACTGATTAGTTTGCATGGGCGAACACTCAATCAATGATGAAGAAATCGCGGCTCCAAATTGCAACGGTGATGATCCAAGAAAATAGCAAACCAATTTGGCCAAGGATTACACATGCGTTCACACTTTAAAAAAATAGAAAAATACACTACTACCCACTTTAACAAAAAAGATCAATCCATGTCATCTCAGGAACTCAAATCTAGGCCATCCAAATAAAAAAACAAACGCACAATATTAGTCCCCACGTCCTCACCTAAGATTAGGTTCTAACCTGATCCACACCCCCCTCTCTCTCTCTCTCTCTATATATATATATATATATATATATATATATATATATATATATATATATAATCATAAAAGTATCATAATAATTATACAGAAGAAGGGAATGATAATCTATTTTGTACTAATAATATTATACCTTAAGTACAAAATAAGAATATTAGGCAATTATGTTAATAAATAATAAATATTTTGGTACATTAATTTCAATTAGGAAATAATTAGGTTAGAAATAATTAATAAGAATATTAGGCAATATCAATGTCATGAAAATGAGTTTTCGGGATCCAATTTTCAGTCTTGGGATCCCTCATCCAGAAAACATCCCTCTCCACAGCTTTCCCTTTGCCTACACCGCCCTCCCTCGTCATTGTCGTCAACTCATCTGCCTCTCTCCTCATCACCGACGATGAGGTCGCCGTCGCCTTCTGCCCCTTCACGCTCTCCGCAGCAACCGTATAAGTTCTTTTGAAGAGTTCTATATTGATAAGCATAATTTGTGTATATACGGATGGGTGAAGACCTCAACGTTCTTGCAGTGATTCACGGCGGCTTCCTACTACGACAATTAATTATTACCATAAAACAATATTGTAATTGGATTTAGACAATTATATTATTATTAAAATAATTATAGAAAAAATAAAGGATAAATAATTTAAAAAGGAAATATAGTGTCAACTATTATATAATAATGCATATTACATGTCAATTTATAAAGTTATAATATGATTTTTGACTGGGTGGTGCAAGAAGGGAATGAGAATCACCAGCACGGGAAGAGGAGGGAAGCATTGCAAAATAAATAATTACAATTTTTTTAGTCACCAATCCATTGTATTTATAGGTAGAGAATGTGAGAATTATAAATTAGTAATATCAGTTTCCTTTTTCATTTTACCTTCTTAATCAAATATTATTTCACGTTGATCCAGTCATTTCCTTTTATATTTTCAGTCAATTATGCATCTTTATAATTTTCAAACAATTAATAATATCCATTTTCTTTTTCAATTTTCTTAATTTTTGTTTCCTTTTCCATTAGGATCATTTTATATTTTCAGTCAATTAATAATATCAGTTTACTTTTCCATTTTACCTTTACTATTGTTTAGGCGGTGCAAACACAAAAATTGAAATTGTATATATTCACAAAATCCGTTATAGTGTGTGTGTAATTCAAGGTGCGGGTACAAAATCTCTATGTTGTCCTCTGATTCTTCACTAACGTTCTACTGAAATTCCTCCGGGATTCAAGTGGCGTGTGCCTCCGGGATTCAAGTGGCGTGGCCTCCGGGATTCAAGTGGCGTGGCCTCCGGGATTCAAGTGGCGTAGCCTCCGGGATTCAAATTACATAGCCTCCGAGATTCAAGTGGTGTGATCTTCAACAGCAAACGTCAAGCTTCAGGGTAGTCAACTTCGCAGAGCTTCAAAGTACATTCAAGTCTTCAAGTTGTGTCTTCAATGAGCTCTCAAATCCTGAAGTGTGCTTTAGGATGTCAAATGAAGGCTATATTTATAGTTGAAAGTCTAACCAAAATCCCTCAAGAAACTCCACTTTTATTTATTAAATTAAATTAATTAATTATCTAATAAAATGAACATTGCCAAAATCAAGTTTAGGTTCAATATTCTATCATCTAATTCAAATTCAAATTAAATTATAATTATCTAATTCAAATATTATAAAATTATATTATATTTAAATTATAATTATAATTATTATTCAAATATGAATTGGGCTTGGACCAATTAATTAATTCAATAACCCAACATCAAATTTAATTGGGCTAAATATTCACCTCAAATTATTATTATTTTCTAATTTCCAAACGTACTGCAAGATGATGCTCTAAGAAATGACTCCGCCGAAAACTAGGCAACGCTCACCTGAGGTTCAAGATCTCCTTAAACGTAGTACCAAGAAATCCAAGCGCCATGATTCGCCGACGCATCCTCCAGATGGTAAACTCCCAGACTTTGTCCCGGAAACCCCCATGTCTCCGCAGGTGAATAGTGCCAAGATTGCACAAAACCCATCGCTGCCGGCTAGCTACAAAAGGGCCCTTCGAAACTACATGAGTCTCAAAGAAGACGACAAAGTTCTTGAGGAAGAAGATGTATCTGATGATGAGAGTTATCGAGGCCAAGAGGACATCGGTTGTCCTAGGATTGTTCTGACAAAGGAGGAAAAGTTGAGGATTAGGCGCCCATGGCGCTACACGCTCATTATCCGTCTCATGGGAAGAACGGTGAGCTACAGCTTTCTGCTACGTCGCTTACAAGCCATCTGGAAATCAGAAAATCACATGGAGCTCATCGACTTGAGTCATGATTATTATCTGGCAAGATTTGACGAGCAAGCAAAATATGGTGGTCTTTGGATGATCCTCGACCACTACTTGATCGTTAAAGAATGGGAACCAAATTTCGACACCCAATCGAATGAAACGAAGAAAATTTTGGCTTGGGTTCGATTTCCAGATCTTCTAATAGAGTACTTCGACGAGGATATGCTGTTAAAGGTTGGCAATAAAATCGGACGTATAATCAAGATTGACGACACTACGAGCTTGATGACAAGAGGGAAATTTGGACGAATCTGTGTAGAAGTTGACATATCCAAGCAGCTGCTTGCCAAGTTTGATCTGCATGACAAGGTATGGCTTATTGAATATGAAGGTTTACATTTAGTTTGTTTCAAATGCGGCATCTACAGTCATAAGCAAGAACATTGCGCCCAAGATTTAAGAACAAGTGACCTTAAATCATGAATGAAAAATATGGATCATGGATGTTGGTAACGAGGAAAGAACGAAGGCCACCAAGGAACCAAACCGCTAGGAGTGCCCAGAACAAAGGACTAGCAGCAAATCAGTTAAAAGGTGTTGGCTAGATGACGATTCACAATAATCAGCTCTATGACTCTCGATTCTCCTCGTTAGGTGATTTCGATGAGGAAGACCAGTTTAAGGGCCCCCTGCAATCTGGTGCCAATAATACTATGCAGCATGCGCTTGCTGCAGGATTACATTCAGACCATCAGTTAAAGGCACCCCGGCAATCTGATGCAAATGCCACTATGCACTTTGAACCCCCTGCAAGATTACATGTAGACCCCCAGTTTAAAGGACCCCTACAACCTGTTGCCAACAATTCTTTGCAGCTTGCATCTCCGACAAGACTACATATGGACCTCAATCAAACCGGGCAAGCAGCAGAATCTCTACCAAAACTTCATATCCAAAGGGGCCTTCATTCTGGTCGACCCAACACCCCCCAGAAGTAGAGGTGGAAGGCCACACACCCCTCGCAAGGCAACGGTTGAGTTAGACCACGTATTGGTAAGAGGCTCGACCAGACGAGGAAATATCACCTGAATTGTAATCAACAACTGTCCCGAAGAACCGGACATAACGTTGCCTTTTGTCCCCAAATCTCCAATCCTCAATGTTCCACCGGATGATGCCATGGATTTTTACGACTATGACATGCCTAAAGACGCTATGGGTGATGACGACATTAGCTTGGGCCAAGCTGGCCCTTCTGAGGACTCTCTCATGCTCGATTGAGCATTTCTCTTCTCTTATCTCCATTTTAAATGTTTATTTTAGTTTGGAACTGTCAAGGGGCGACTTCAAAAGCTTTTCGTCGTACCCTTAAACACCATTTAAATGTTTATAACCTGGTTATCACCTGCCTCCTCGAAAACCTAAAGTATATGAAGTGCATGCTGACATCATATGCTCTGGCTTAGGCTTCGATGAATGGCTTAGAGTCGAAGCCTTTGGCTTTTCCGGGGGGTATCTGGGTGTTATAGAAGGAAACTGTCAAGGTGGACATCCTACATTCCCACCCCCCAATTTGTTATTTTAAAAGTTTTGGAGAACAACTCTTGCGGTTGGTTCTTGTTTTTTTGTTAATGGCAGTCCAGACACTGCTCTTAAGAGGGAATTATTTTCAATACTTACCCAGGATATTCTAGACTTCCATGGTTCCTGGCTTACAATTGGGGAATATAACTCTATACTAAACAAAGATGAAGTATCAAATAGTAATACTTTTCCTCTTCCCGTTGCACAGGGTTCGGCAATTGGATCTTCAGGGAGGGTTTGATGGACCTCGGCTTTTCTGGCGCTAAATTCACATGGTGTCGAGGCCTACACTCCTCATCTTTTAAAGGCGCACACCTTGATTGCGCCCTTTGTAACAGTGAGTGGCGCACCATGTTTCTAGAGGCGAGGGTTTTACACTTTCCCATAGTTAGCTCGGATCATGCCCCACTTTTGGTGCAAACATCCGCCCTATCATAGCCTACAAAGGACAAAAGATTTAGATATAACGCAGCAGCATGGGCAACACACGCTAACTTCTCACAGGTTGTCAAGGCTACATGGAACACTTTTGCTAGCTTGGAGTCCAACATAACCCTCCTGGTTGCGAAACTACAAGATTGGAACTGGAGCACCTTTGGTAACATTTTCCATAGAAAGAATAGAGTGTTGGCTAGATTAGAAGGGATACAAAGGGCCCTAAATGTTCAATTCAGATCAAACTTGATAAAGCTGGAGAAGAAGCTCCGAAACGAGTTCGAAGAAATTTTGTTCCAAGAGGAGCTTTTATGGTACCAAAGGTCCCGGGATGAATGGATAATATCAGGCGACCGCAATATAAGCTTCTACCACACTGCTACGGCGGTGAAGAAATCAGCATAAAAAATTACACGCCTAAGGGGTGAACATGGAGTCTGGATAATAGAGGGGGATGAAATTCTCAGCCATGTGCAATGTTATTTTTCACAATTATTTTCTGCAGATAGTATCAACTCAACAGAGGACAACTGGCCTAGGCATTTCCCTAATCTCTGTGAAGAAACATGAAGGCAAATTAACGACCCTTTCAAGGATTTGGAGATCAAGAAGGCCATGTTCGATATGGCACCGCATAAATGTCTGGGCCCCGACGGCTACCACCTAGCTTCCTTTCAGCAACAATGGCCGATAGTTGGCAATAGTATTATCAAATTTGCTACTAAGCTTTTCGAATCAGGTTCCCTCCCGGATGGATGCAATGATACAACAATCGTTCTTATTCCAAAAGTCACTAGCCCTGAGATGGTGAACCAACTCCGGCCGATTAACCTATGCAATATATCATATAAAATCATCACGAAAACAATGGCCACAAGGCTGAGGCTCTGCATGAAGGACCTAGTTGGCCCTCAGCAATCCAGTTTCATCCCAGGCCGGCAAACCGCTGACAATATTCTTGTATACCAGGAGGTCCTCAATTCTATGAGAATTAAGAAGGGAGCCATCGGTGGGATGATGCTGAAAATCGATCTAGAGAAAGCATTTGACAGATTATCCTGGGACTTCATCAAAGAGACTCTTGAAATGGCAAGCTTCAATGTGACTTGGATTAGAAATATATTGGCCTGCATATTTTCTTCGAGGCTGCCTATTTCGCTGAATGGGAAGCGTTCAGATTATTTTAGGCCTAGTAGAGGGATTCGCCCAGGAGACCCATTGTCGCCCTTGATTTTTGTTCTTTCCATCAAACGTCCGAGTCACCTCATCCAAGGCTTGGTAGCGTCTGGTAAATGGAATGGTTTAAAGATTACTGGAAATGGCCCTTGCCTCATGCACCTCCTTTTTGCCGATGAGATGATCCTACTGGGTGAAGCAATGCTCCAGTAAGCGAAAACTATCAAGCTCTGCCTCGATCAATTCTGCAGGAGATCTAGGCAGCGCGTCAATTATAAAAAATCCTCACTACACTTCTCGAAGAACACTCATGCTTACTGTCGCCAGTCTATCTCTGAACAATTGTGTATTACAAGCTCTAAAGACTTAGGAAAATAATTAGGGGTCCCCTCACTGCATGGCAAGCTAAAAAAGGACACCTTTGATGGCCTAAATCAGCAAAATCCAAGACAGGCTATCTGGGTGGAGATCGAAAACCTTAACATTTGCAGGTAGAAGAACAATGACGCAATCTGTCTTGTCTTCAATTCCCTTATATAGCATGTTGACAACCCTACTACCTATATGTGTGGTCAATCAGATCGAGAAGATGATCCGGAACTTCCTATGGGGAAGCAAAGATGGTGAGTCAAAGTGTAACCTAGTCTCTTGGGAAAAGGTTACTCAAGACAAAGGCAATGGGGTCTAGGAATTCAAAGCCTGGGAAATATGAACTTAGTCATGTTAACTAAACTCGGTTGGTTGCTTCAATCAAATGAGCACAGTTTATGGTCAGAAATAATGAAGCTCAAGTACGCAATCAACACCAAGGACCCCTCCTCCTGCCAACCGAAAACAAGCATGTCAAACGCCTGGAAAGGTATTCTCAAGACAAAGCCTTTCCTACTTAAAGGATCCAGAAAGATTGTTAGAAACGGTAGGAGTACGTTGTTCTGGCTGTACTCTTGGATTGGTCACTGATGGACAATTTAAATAAAGTCCTCGCAAGTGCACGAGTTAGTGTAGTAATAAGGTGCAAAGGCAAGGGTCGAACCCACAGGGAATTGTACGATGCAATTTAATACCGACTAAACTAAAAGAAATAATTGACTTGATAATGTAAAGTACTAGATTAAAATGCCAAAGATAACGATCAATAAAATTCAGAAAGTTAAGTAATAGAATTAAACCAGAAAGCAGAATTAACAAATAGATTAAAGAAGACGACAATCAAAATGGATTAAACTAAATAGAAACGCAGGCAAAAATAAAGGCAGGGAAAACAATAAATTAACCATGAAACAAAACAGCTAGGGAATACAAGCTAGATTGACTAAATTAATTCCCTCTATAGATTAACTCATGCTAAATTTGTCAAATTCAACACAATTAATCTCAACACTAAACTTAGAATAAAACTTAATTCAATTGACAAATTAAACGTAAATTGCTGCAAACAATTCATACTAATATCATCATGTTCTTAAGCAAATGCAATTAGCTATTCAACATTTCCCTAAGCAAATAAACCAACAACTCATCCATAAATTAAAAGCTCAATGAGGAAGACTTTGAATGATAAATTAACACTACCGCTTTGAAATCATAAACCTGGTAATTATTCAAAATACTAACTAATTGGCTAACGTCATATATTAATGATTCATGAAGCAACTCAGTTTGCAATTTAACATACTTGAATTTAAAGGAATTGGATTAATAACTCATACAAAACAAATACGAGACAAACAAATTAAGAAAGAAAAACAATGCTTAACATGAAAATTAAATATAATAAAGCTTACCACTAGAGTTTGATAAATTAACAAAGTGAAAAGAAAAACGAATTGCAATTTGAAGTAAGGGAAATAGAACCAGGGACAATGTGCTGCTATCTAGAATGTAATTCGCTGCTGAAAGGAAGAATTTGAAGCTGCTAATGGAAGAATTTGTCACCGCTGAACACCAGAATCAGTCGCCGATCAGAAGCCTCCGGAATTGGTCCGGAGCCAAATTGATGATGAGATACCCCTTGCCTTCTTCGGAATTGACTCAATTTATACTGCCTAGACCAACAGCTTATTCCGGACTGCTCACTAAAATTGTGTTAATTATTGGTCGCTCTTCCGCTCAACACTTCATTCGGATCGCTCAAAGACTGGATTTGTTGAAGATCTTATTTCTAGCGGCTCCTTTCTCAATAATAATAATAATAATAATAATAATAATAATAATAATAATAATAATAATAATAATAATAATCATATATAACTAATCTACCTTTATTAAACTCCTACTGAACATGTACT